AGCTCACCCTTCTCTCGAGTAACCCGCTTTTGCCACATTTATTGGTGCGAACGCCAGGAGTTTCCTGATTGGCATCCGGAAGACAGTCATTCATTGAGTCAACAACTGCGGACCGCAGTTGCGTCATCGTCACCAGTCAGCCCATTCTAGCGCATGCCGAGAACTCGTTCAGGAGGCGGCTACTCCATGCCTGGCAAGAACAACAAGAAGGCCCTCGACGGGCAGGACAACAGCGGCGAGAAGGAGCAGGATCAGGACCAGGCCGAGCAGTCCGAGGATAACTCTCTACTCGACCAACTCGACAAACAGCAGCATGAACGGGATGACGATGAAGTCGAGTCATTGATCAAGGAGCGGGATGACATTATCTCCCGGCTCAAGCGTATCCACTTTTACGCAACCAGGAAAATGTTCAAGCAGATCGACCAGAGCAGTATGGACATCATGGTTGACCGCCTCTACGACCTCCAGCAGCAACTCGGTGTACACGACGAGTTTGAAGCAATCTTCGATCAGATTACTGAGGTGAACAGCATTCTGCTGGAGCGAGAGGATCGTGAGAAGTCTATGAACATCAGCCGGCACTCGAGCAGAGAGTCGCTGGCTTCATCATCCCATTCGTCACCCATCATCGTCATGAACACAGCAAACGATCCCAACTTGGTCGTTGACCCTTGGGACGGCACAGCCACTGGATACTACAAGTTCGAGCGCCGCTTCGTCTCGACTTACGTACAGAATGACGCCTACAGTCCGGCAAACCGTTTCGCCGCGTACGCCAGACTGGTCGGTCCCAAGGGACGCGACATCATCGATGATCTGGAACAGACACCCAATGGCCTGGACACCGCCATGAAGCGCATGCAGGAACGTTTCGCCCACAAGGAACAAGTCAGAGCTGATGTGGAGCGAAAGCTAGTTAACATCCCATTCGTAAAGTCCCAATTTGATGCTCAGGGTTTCGGAGCCATCATCAGCGCCACTGAGTCATCGCTTCGAGTTCTGAAGCAAGCAGACATCGAGAACAGCTACATTGACCGAGTAGTGTTCGGCACTGTCGGATCAAAAATCCCGCGCCCAATGCTAGATCGTTTCCTCCGGAAAAACGACTACGCCGAGGACACAGACAAGCTAATCAGCTACCTTCGGAACATCGTCGAAGGGCTCCACAAGTCGGAGCGGATTGTCAGCACGGCACTCAACGTGGCCGCATCTTCAAAAGCTCGCATCAACGCGATCGAGTCCAGTCCCAATCCAAAGAAATCAGGCCCTAAGTCGCCCCGATCGCCGCACGCCGGCCCATCGATCAATCATTCGCAACATCAGCCAAGGAGCAACAGGACCGGGCGACCAGCAACTCAACAGAGCTCGATCACTTGCCGACTCTGTGAAGGAGATCACCATTCGTTCTTCTGCAACGAGGGGACGGTGGACAGCCGCAAGCGTCTGGCGGTGTCCAAGCAGTTTTGTTTTCGATGTCTACTGCGACATCCAGGTGCCCCATGCCGATCGTCGTACATCTGCCCGTGCGGAGGCACACACACCAGGGTGTTGTGCTCGAGCGGAGGGGTCCGCGCTCCGCCGCAGTCAGCTGCCAACAACAACAGCAACAGCAATCCAACTGGGTCGGGAATGCCTCCCTCCAGTCAACAGAGCAGTCCGCCACCAAGTCAAAACCAGAATGCCCAGACACAGCCAAAGTCCGGCATTACTATGAGCATCCCCAAGGCCGGTGCGAAGCCATCTTCGACTGGCGGTAGTAGTCATCTCAAATACTCGCGACCAGACCTACTGACTACGTACTACGAGACAGTCGTAGTGAAGATCAACAACGAGATGGTCCGCGGTCAGCTGGACAGTGGCGCTGGGCGGACGCTGATCTTGCAGGAGCTCGCAGACCGACTCAAGCTGCGACATTACAGCAAGCATGACCTGAAGTTAGGAGGATTTGATGGGCTAAGTTCCCAGTCAAGCGAGCGACTTGTCACCGCTCAACTGAAATCGATCAGAACACACCATTCGTTTAAAATGATCATGTGCGTCACGCCCCGCATCGACCACCGACCTCGATCAGTGTCCAGCCAACTGTGGAATGCTCTTCAATCTGAGGGCTATGAGCTCAGTGACTCTCCGGAGTACGACCAGCTTCCGATCAGCATCGTCGTCGGCGCGGAGTACTACAGACTCCTGTTTCGCGGCAACTATGTCAGTTACAACGATGACCTCAGCCTGCGCCCTTCCATCTTTGGCTGGGTGTTGACAGGAACAACTGAGGATGACAGATCAATCACTCGCCGACACAACTCTCCATTCGTTGGACTAATCAACAGCGCCAGTCAATCAGAAGATGAAACCTTTCTGCAGTCAGTCGACGCCACTTCGCTCCTGACATCACCATCACCAGCAGACGCCAAGTTGGCACTGGCAAACACTGAATCCCTGTTCTCTACGAACAGCGCCAACGACAGCAAACTCGAAGAGGAGTTCAATCAGGAGTTTATGGACAAGAAAGTTCGTTTGCGCGACGGTCGTTATTCAGTCAAGCTCGAATGGATTGATCCAATTGAGATGGGCAACAACAAGCAGGTTGCTCTGATTCGCCATCACCGTCTGGAGCGCAGTCTAGAAGCTCGTGATCTCACACTCGCCTATACCAAAGAACTAGGAGAGATGGTGAATGCATTTACTGAACCAGCTGAGGAACAGTGCACTTCCAAAAAGTGTTACTACATGCCACATCATCCGGTGTTACGACTGGATAAGGACACTACGAAGCTGCGAGTCGTCTTTGATGCTTCCTCGCACGCGACAGGCACCAAGTCGCTGAACGACAATCTGTACAAGGGTGTGGTCAAGTGGGACCTCCTTGACGTGCTACTGCGCTTCCGCTTTGGCCAGTATGCAGTGACAGCAGATATTGAAAAGGCCTTCCTGCAGATACAAGTTGACCCAGAGGACAGGGACGCGTTCCGCTTCTGGTGGAAGAACGACACTGGACAACTTTCTATTCGTCGCTTCAAAGTTGTGCCCTTTNCAAGTTGACCCAGAGGACAGGGACGCGTTCCGCTTCTGGTGGAAGAACGACACTGGACAACTTTCTATTCGTCGCTTCAAAGTTGTGCCCTTTGGCACCAGCATCTCGCCCTACCTGCTGTTCATCGTGTTCAGTCACCTGTTCAGTCAGATGCAGGAGAAGTACCCCGAAGTGGTACCCGTCATCAAGGATCGCATGTACGTCGATGACGTGATCATCGCTTTCCAAGGAGCCACACCTGAAGATCTGGACAAGTTTCGCACTATGAGTGTCGAACTGTTTCAGGAAGCCAGCATGAATCTGCGCAAGTTCCGAACGAACCATCAGCAACTTGACGAACAGTGGGCCGGCCCTGACCGTGCTCCAACAGCCAAAGTACTGGGTCATGCATGGACCGTACTTGCCGACAGCTTTGCCCCGTCCATTGACATCGGACCGTATCTTTCACTCGCTTCTCTCACCAAACGCGAGTTTACAGCGTTCGTCCAATCAGTCTACAATCCGACCGGCATCGTTGCGCCGTACAACCTGAAACTGAAGCTGGCTCTACGTGAGCTGTGGGCTCTGAAGCTAAGGTGGGATGAACCGGTCCCAGAGTCCAACTTGAAGGAGGCCCTCGAACTGATCAGTGATGCCAAACTGGTGAACAGTATGGTTGCTCCGCGCAACGTACTACCTGACGATGGTTCTGCACCATCTTTGCGAATTTACGCCGATGCCAGTGAGAAGGCAGTGGCCGTAGTTGCCTACTGTTGTTCTACGAAAGGAAACTTCCACCTATTCGCCAAAACCAGACTCGCCAGATCAGCAACGATGCCCGAGCTTGAGCTCGATGCTCTCGGGATGGCTGCAGCAGTGGCCCACCATCTTTCACTCGTTCATCCATTTTCGCGCGTTGTCATCTGCGGAGATTCGAAATGCAATCTGCAGCGTCTACAGCAGCACCCCAACAAGCAGAAGCCGTCAATCGCTCTGCGTATCCGTAAAATCTCGAAGCTGGCTCCGACAGCTACCTTTCGCCATGTCACCACCAAAGAGAACCTGGCCGACGTTGCGTCGCGCGGGTCCACGATGGCTCAACTCGTCAAGTCCAAGCAGTGGCTGGAGGCTCCTGAGCTGCCAGCGTCAACTCAGTTCGAGCACACAATCTCCAGTCAAATGATGACCGTGTCAGCAGTACCAGCCAATGACCAATGCGCCTGCACCCGCTACGCTACCTACAAACTTGCTGTGGGCACGTACCGGTTTGTTGCACGGCTGCTGAAGAGGAAGACAGCAAAGTATGCAAACCTGCCCGAACTTGAACTCGCATTAATTCTGCTGATTCGGGAGGTCCAGCGAAACCATTTTCGCAATGACATCATCTCGGTTGATGAATCAGATAACATCATATTCGACAAACAAAGCGTGCTACAGAATTTGGGCGCCCACATGGATCAGTACGGACTAGTGAGGCTGCGAACTCGCATCGAGCAAACAGTGAACTTCTCCTACGAGGAGGTTCACCCAGTCATTCTGCCACCGCATTGCCATTTCTCCCGATTGGTAATTGCTAACACGCATCATCAGCTCTTTCACCCAGGAGTAGAACGAACCTGCAGCTCAATTCGAGAGCGTTATTTTGTCATCAACCAGCGGAGAATGGTGAAGCACTTCGTCAACAAGTGCCAGATCTGCCGTCGCAAGCGACACTCAACATCAGACATTCGACATGGACCAGTTCCCCCATTCCGCTACGACGTCAGCA